AAAAAAAAAAATTTACTTTTGATGCTGTTGATCGCTTCTTTTAGCATGATCATTGCTACTTTCATTTTTATCACCACCACCTCTATTACTCTCGGAACGTTGTTTTGAAATTCTAGAATCTTTTTCAATGAGTAGATTCTTTAACCATTTAATTTCTCTTTCAAGTTCTTTTACACGAGCTTCCAACATTTCAGCTTTTGCACTCATGTCCCTTGCCGTTTTTTCAAGTGTCTGCTCACGCATTTTCTTTTTCACTCTAAATCTTGCGGAAGCAGCTGTATTTCGTTTCCTTTTATCTTCTTCAGCCATAAATCTGGAGAAATATTCAGGATCAGGATACATATAAGGATTATAATACGGATGGTGCATATATGCTGGAGGATTTAAATGTGACGCCACAGGAAGAATATGTTGGGGTGGTTGATAAATTGCAGGTCTATGGTCAAAAATTGATGGATCGCTGGAATTGGTTGGCGAGTAAGGATTAAGAAGTGGTGCTACGTTATTTTCTATTGATTTTGAAGGGTGTTGACGTTGTTGCTGTTGTGATGGTTGCATTTGTTGCGCTAAAGAAAAAGTAGGCGACGTTTGCGTGTGAATTGTACCGTTATTTTGCAAATGTTGTTCGGGGATTTCAAAATCTTCATCAAGTAGTCCTAACCCTGTTGGAATATGGTCAAAAGTAAATTGATCATTAGACCAATTTGTAGGTAATTCATTTGGAGTCATTTCTCGTGACGTGTTTTGGTACGTTAAGGTTTCGGTTTGTGGGAGGGAAGAGGGGTTGTAATATGACATTATGTTTTTAATTTTTTTTTTTTTTTTATTATGCGCTATTTTTTTGCCTCGCCTTTTAGAAAAATTAATTACAGAGAATGAAAGAAAAAAAAATAAAAAAAAACTTAACCCTCACGATTTAAAGGTTACAACCAAGTTCAACCATTTTCAAAGATCAACAGCTATTTATGCTTCCTCGCTCGTGATATGATAACCAATGACATTTATACATGTTTATCTGATCTTAATTGGCTCATTAATAAAAATTCAGCACGAAATTTTTTTTTTTTTTAAAAAAAAAGTTACATGTCAGATTAATTCGGGTCGATTATATGCTTTTAAATTGACAAGGTGAACTGCGCCTCAACAAACATTTGAGTGAAATCAAGGTTCCAATTCTTATATATATCATTTATATAATCTTGAACTTATTATTTATTTCTCCAGAGTTCGAATGACACAAAAGATTAGTTTTCAATCGATAACAAATTTTACCCAATGAAATGCTGATAAAATTTCATCATTGTTGCTGCATATCAAAAATAGATTTACGTAAAAAAAAAAATTTCAACATTTCTTCTAATTATTGTAAATTTTTTGGGGAGATTTCTTTGTATATTTACATGCACGAAAAAATAATACCCGATATTATCTTAACCGAATGAGGAATTAATTTTTTGAGATTGCGTTATTTTTGATAAGTTTAACGTAAATTAGATTTGAAAAAGTCTTTAAAAAAAAAAAATCATTACGTGAATACTTCGAGATTATGCATGTAAGGATGACGCAGTTTTATTTTGGAATGGCATCATTTATGCACGTCAATATCAATTGTCGATCGTCACATAAAGATGTGGTGAAACACCATTATATTAAGTAATATAGCTTAAATGCACGTTTTTTGTTGTTAATAATTTTACCCAATAATTGCGTGATTATGAGCCACTTTCTTCGCATGAATTTGAACTGTGAAATTTCAAATTCAAATTTCTTGTTTTTTTCTTTTTTTAAAATATGGTGTGGAAGATTGTGGTGAGATTCAGTGAAAAGCTAAAAATAAGTTTAAAAACTACGAAAACGGTTTTTTTACGGCAAAATAATTTGATTTGCAAATTATATAAATTGAAGCAAACCATCAAAGGGAATAAATCCGTCGATAAAAATGGTTGCATTCAACAAATAAACAACCAATTAGCTGACCTAAGCCTAATCCGGCAAGAACAGTTTAAAAAAAGTTTTTTTGCACCAAAATCTGATTTTCGTACAAAAAGATTCGCAATGTTCACGGATTTTATGTTACATGGAAGTTTTACATTTTGATAAACGGACATGCTGAAAATTTGTTGAAATGGTCCATCGCGGATCGTATGCATAATAATATAAACGTTATCGAGTATGAACCTTGACCTGTATCAAACAGATCTATGATTTCTATGATTTTAATTGGAACACATGCGCATACACAATTATATATTAATTACCCTAATAAGAACTTCTATTTTCTTGCATAGAATGCATAAATGAATGCTACACTAATTTATATTTCTACTAACTTGTTTGAGGGTAAAAAGATTAGGTAAATCGTTCAAAGTGTTCTTTTTGCCATTATTATCAGTCCATTTTGATGTTAATTATGGCTACTAATATAGAAAGTGAGCGAACACACAACTTGTTATGGTAATATATAAAAGATTTTTATTTGTACATTTCTTTTATAAATTGTGTCACTTGGACAAGGCAAACCTCTAATTTATCAATTGGACCCTAACTTCCTTTCTCATCAGACTCTTGGTGGTCGAGACGAAATGCCGTAGCTTTTCTCAATGACCTTTGATATGTAAATCATGTGAATGGCGAATTGAGTTGCAATTGTAATTTTCACGTGATGACTACTTTAATAAATTATTTATAAAGTTTTTAGGATAAACGTCCTCTTGACGCGGCGACAATTATTAAAAGTCACGTGGATTAGTGAAAACTGAAGCTTTTATATTTTAGTATAATACTATTTATTTATTTAAATATAATTAATTAAAAGTAATATATAAAATAGTAATTTATTAAATAGAGGAAAGGATTTTTTAAGATATTTTCTTTATTAATAGTTGTTTATGCAATTATTATTATATAATATATTTGTAATTCGCTTTATTAATATTTTACTAATTAAAAAAAAAATAGAAACCTTTCAAATTCATTAGATGAATTGAACTAATCATATAAAAATTTACCTTTTTGAAATAGAGTTTAATTTTATTTTTTAAATAGTATTTTTTAGTAAATACTTAATAATTAATATACTATTAACTTATTAAGGATTATTATTATATTAAAATTTATCTAGATAGAATTATGTGATTTTCATAAAATCAAATTTTGATCAATAATCAAAGTTTGTATTTTACATTATTTTACAAATTAAGTTAGTAACTTTTAGTAGATAGGGTAATAAGTAAAAATATATCTATAAACATTTGTATTAATAAATATCCTAATATTTTTAAAGAGAATAAAAGTATTATGTTTTGCAATTTTTATGACTTCTTATTTGAATAAAAGTTAAAATCTACTATAAATAAACATTGTCTTTCAAAAGAACATATGGGAGTGGTCAATAGAAAGGAAAAATCTACAGATTTTGAATAATTTTAGTTATTAGCTAGTTTTGTTTATATGACTATAATCAGCAGAATAAACCAATAAAAAAATTTTTGACTAAAAAGTAGATTTTTTCCTTTTCTACTGACTGTCTCTCATATAAAAAAATAAAGTTATAAAATTAATGAATAAAAAAAAAGCAAGTCATTATTTTTACAATTAATAATATATTTGAATCTAAAAAGAAAGTTATAGATAATTTAATTAAAGTTTTTCCTTTACAAATATCCTTTTGGAAAAGTAAATTAACTTTTTTTTATTTTAAAAAAGAAGATGCAATTTCTTAAGCTTTTACTCTTTATCAAATATATTTATTTAATATTTTTAATAGAATTTTTTTATTTCAAAATTGCTTTAATTAAAAATCTATAGTAATAATAATAGATAAAACTATAAATAATTGTTCAAGAAGTATTGTAAACACATAGTTAATTTATTACATTCTTGTAAAAAATGAAACGAAGTTACACTTTTTTTGCTTTTTTTCGATTTTTTATATAAAAAATGTGTTTTTTTGTACCAGTCAATTATATAGATCCCTTATTAAAAAAAAATAAATCTCAATTTTTAGAGACAAATCTTGTATTCAATAATAAAATAGTAATTTGGGATTACGTAATAATGTTTACAGTTTTTTTTTACTTTTTACAAAATAAAATGACATTATAATCACAAGAAATTTTGATATATTGACTAAATAATACTCCCGTAATCGTGTTAAAATTTTGTTAAAATTTGTTGAAATTGTGTCGAAAAATCACATTATTTTTTATTAATTTTTAACCAATTTTTGTTGAACTTGTATTGAAATTGCTTATTGATTTTTGCGAATAATTTTATAATGATTTTTTATTTATCACTGAGGTAATGATTTGTTATTGTTGATCTACTCTGATTGTCTGATGTATATATTTATTAATTTGCGTAAGTTATTTTCTAATTTT